TTGCCGTGTTGAGTTTCTTGGGCGCTGGGTGAGCCCGTAGAGACTTTCTTGCCCTTGTTGTCCATGTCTTGTAATCAATGGAGTTGTTGAATCAAGTTGAGTTGCTGGTTGTTGATGGAGTGTAGTTGCTGGGAGTTTTGATCTCTGACCAGCTCTCATACCATGTTGGGCTGAGAAAAACCCTTTAGGATCTTTTGCAGAGATTAAGTCCCAGCTGTAAAGACTTGAGACTTGGAGTAGTGCAGCGGAAGTTGAGGCAGTTGAACCCTTGTACTAGTATGTGAGAACAAGTGATTGATTAAAGAAACAAGCATACAGCAATATATAGAAGATAAGGAAGCAGTTGTAGAATACAGTTACAGGAACGGTTTATCGAGTCGCACAGCGACTCGATTGCCGCTTCGGTTACCATCCGTGATGTTGTAACGGTCAGTCGCAACCTCCAGTTGCGACCTTTCGAGTCCTTTCGCATTCTTTGTCCGCCCCCTCGTGTAACCTCCGTTGACTCGCGTGCTCCCCTGTAATCTTCCTCGAGTACAGTGTTACACTTCAGAAACGCTAGTCCTTGAGATATTTCCAACACATATAAGATGCTGACGCCACGTTCATAGTAGTAGTACGCTGAACTAGTTAAAGTAGTGCATATCGCAAGTGGTTAGCTTATGAATAATGTAGGGTCTGCTTGTTAGCACGCTACAAAGGGTTCTGGTCTGGACATGATACACGTCCATGTGAAGCCCACAGATTACGCTTTAGAGCTTGTTCCTATCAGCCTCTTCCCAGGCTATCCTCTTCCCAAAATCGCCCCCCGAGAGCGTGCTAGAAGAACCATTTTTCCAGCTAATTCGTTTTAGAATCGCGTACTTCACCACAATGAATCATCTCTCGTAAAAATCGCACTGTGCAGATTCGCGCGGGTCTGAAAATTGGACGCCTGAAACGAGATTTGAAAACATGCCTTGAATCTCGACAATCCCAATCTCGTGTCACACCACGCGGAATCGCACTAAACTGTTTCGCGTCAAAATTACGCGACTCTGTAGCGCGCGAGTCTCGGAAGAGGTTGGATGGGAAGAGGCCGCAGGAACACGCCCCTAGAAGAGAACAATTTTCGAGCCTACGCTGGTGGTTCCCTCCGTACACAACATCTCTTCGCGACCGTCGATGCACGGCGATGAGGAGATGGCCCATTTCCGTACCTATACAACTGCCGCGGTGCCGAGCCTGTAGGTGGCTCGTGTCAGTTTGTCTTGTGCGTGTAACCGCATTCCCATGAGCTGGCACGCAGGCATCTGCGCACACTGTACCCTCCCCTCCCCATCCCACTCCGCTTCTCTTGCGCAATCCTTCGCTTTGCCCGCTCTTTGTCGCTAGAGTTTTTGGTGCTCGGTCTTTTCACTGACTCTACTATTTCCACGTTTCCCCAAACAACAACCACTGCGCAGCAGGGCCTAGTGGTACACATGATCCCGCTTACAGACATCCGCGCTTGTCGCACAATCACGGTTAAGGACCCATTGCCGTATACACCCTGTTCTTATCCCCTAGTGTATGTGCACAATCGCTGTTCAACATGAAACGACCCACAAGAGTGTACTGTACAAGATAGCGCACAGATTCTGCGGCAACCAATAGGATTCGTCCAGTAGATTACGTTGGCAAAAAACAACAGCCTAACGAAGTCACTAGAAGGGTTATCGTCAGCCAACGAGCTGACAACACGCTACGTAGACACGGAAGTTTTTAGCATAAACATATTCCTATGTTCGAATGAATGAACCAAAAAAACACGTCAGCGTTCGCCAGCACAGTTCATCGGCGTGCTCTACGAACTTCAAATGCGTGGGAATGAGTCACGTCTTTCCGAACAACCTCCACTCACACACTGTTACCCCATCCATCTTTGCTTCCGCCCAAATGACAACATGTTTGCCCCTTGCTCCCGTCGCCTGCCTCGCCTGCACAGAAGGGCCCAGATTTCGCTCGACATAAAGCAAGAAATGTGTCGATAGGCAGAAATACACTAATCTTGGCGCCAGGAGGATCTCGTCCGTTGGTGTTTCACGAGGTTTGGGATTGTTCCTGACTACAGCACTGTGAGGAGGATTTTTCGCCAGGCAGACAAGTGGAAAGCCACTGCTGTAACACAAAATGCCATCCGCCTGCGGAAGGGACGTTTTCCTAACTTGGAGAGAGCATTAAAGGCCTGGGTGCAGGGCGCCGAAGACGCTGGCATCCCTCTCACTCTGTCGGTTATTCGACAGACGGCTTTGGACTTGCGCCCTGAGTGTGGCGTCCAAGACACTTTCGAATGCTCGATCAGCTGGTGTCACCGCGCCATGCATCGCATGGGATTCCGCAACCTCGCACGCAAGGGCGAGGCGTTCGACACAGACAAAACAGCTGTCGACCTGTGTAGGCAGCGCATGCCGGAGCTCATTGAGTATATCGGCGTCATTCCACGAGATCTTTACAATTGGGATGAGACTGCCCTCTTCCCGGGGCTGCAGCCTCGTCGTTCCTGGTCGGATGGTTCGCCCGTCGGTCGCAAGGCTGCAAAACACCGCATCACGGTAGCCTTTCTATGCAACGCAAACGGATCCAGCATGTATCGCCCTCTTGTCGTCTCCAAAGTGCGCCGGCCGACTGACTTCAATGCTAACAGCTTCGACCCCGAGCCGTACGTCTACTGGCGCCAAAATCCCAAGGTCTGGATGACTTCCGAAGTGAGTGACGTTTCATTTTGCATGTGCGTGAGTTTCTGGTACTACCTTACGCGCTCTCCGAAACGCAGGTCCGTCTACAGGATACTTGATCAGAATTTCATGTGTGGTTCAATTGTTTTCTCCTCCCCCCTTATCCCCGCCCCCCACCTACAGATCTTCACCTCTTTCTTCGAGTCAGTGATCGCCTGCATGTTCGCCGAACAGAGGCAAATCGTTGTCTTGGTGAACAACGCCTCATCTCATAACCTACTCTCCCCTACCGCCACCACTGAGGATGTCTGTGGCTTCCGCTCGCGGAAGCTCAGCAATGTCAGAATCGTCTATCTCCCCCCCAACACCACGGCATACTGCCAGCCGTTGGACCAGGGCATTATCGCGACCGTCAAGCGGCGGTTCCGATCCAAGTGGCTACATGAGCTATAGAAGCTGTGGGACTCCCGGGTGTCACCAGCGTCACAGGCGACGAAGAAGCCGAAGGCATGGCAAACGGTGCAGTGGCTCCCCGATGCATGGGGCAGTGTTGAGCAAGACACCGTGCAGCGGTGCTGGCACCACGCTAAGATACTGCCCCGTAGCTGGAGTCGGATCCTCCCGCACCTTATGTACGAGAGCTCCGACCCAAGCGACCAGACAGTAGAACGGTGGGTGGTGGGATCATAGATTGACCAGTTCGCGTTCGGTGCCGACACCCTCTCCGCTGAGGACTTCACTCGCATCGACAAGACCCACCCGACGTGCGAGCCCGAGAGCGTCGATCGTCTCTCCACCGAACCCCCTGTAGTGCGCCAGACGGGAGGAGAGCCTCCCTTTGTCATCGAGCTGTCTAAGCGCGCGAGGGCAATGCGGCGGGTTCGACGCCTAGCGACGGATCTGCTCATCGCTTATGCGAGGGCGACGTGGATCCTCCCACGCTACCTCAAGGAGCTGTTCGACATCCGAAACGCTGATGTCATTGAACGCCTCGAGAGGGCCAGCCCGAAGCTGCGTAGGACGTTCAGCATCGACCTCAACTACGCTCCATCTCCTCGCACTTCAGCCAGTTGCAGCGACGATCGAGACACTGCGGACACCGCCATCAGCCGTGAACGACTTTTGCAAGCGACGGCTGTAATGGACGGCTTTGATGACGCGGCGGAGATCATGAGGACCTTTTAAACCCACCCTGTGTACCTCTCCATATCTCCCCTGCATCCAATGTCTACGTGTGTACACCTTCCCCTCTGTCTTGTGCGTGCCATGTGTTCGTTGGAGTGGTTTGCGTTTCCTTGTGTGCCTCATTGTTTGTGTGGGCGTGGGTTTGTGTGCCTCTCTGGACTGTAATTGTATGAGCGTGTGTGTGGGTGTGTGTGCCTCTGTGTACTATGATTCGTTGCAATCTTTGTTGGTGTGTGTGCCTCTCTGTTTTGTGCGTCTACGAAGGGGTGTGTGGATAGTTGTGCCTCTCTGGTTTGTGCTTCTTCATGAGTGTGTGATTCTCAGCTGCGCGGCAGATGCTAACACGGGAGAGTATGAGTATGCGGACAGTGGACGATATAAGCAACGTGTGAAGGCTGAAAATGTGACCTTGGGCAGGAGTTGGAACATGTGGTGTCATCTCTGGAAATGCGTCTCACTGTTATAAACTAAGTGTTGTAATTCTGTATGTGATGTGTCATTAACGTAGTGCAATGCTGTTGTTGTAACATGACCCGTTTCATGCGGGTCAGAAGTTTCTCGCGTCTGTTACCAAGATGGAGTCACATAGGCCGTTCGCATTTAATGACTACAGTGCGGCTACTCCCACCCCCGAAGTGTACAAGCCCTTTTTGCCCGGTGTTTTGGCTGGAGAACATGCACGCACCGCGCAAAAAGTTTGCGTGCCTGAATCGTAGAACAGGTGCAGCTTCTGCCCGAACCTCCTCCAACTGCCCCGCCAGCGGAGCAAGTTTTCCTGTCTTTTTTGCCCACCTTCCCCCCACCCACTTCCCCGAAACACGCCCCTCGGACCACCGCCACGCCCCCGAAACGACAGGAGGATCTGCCATTGTGTCGTTGGTTCCCTTGTCCCAGCCCCACGCAGGGCGGGCGGAGCAGCCTTGCGCTTCCGTGGGGCTTCTCCTTCCAGTCAGCAGAGCGACCGAACCGAACCAACCACGCACAGTGCCCGCCAAAGCAAAGGGAGAATCATCGCCCAAACCAGATGAGGAAAATCAAGGATGAGCCGAACCGACCACAGCACAGCCAGAAGAATTGTTGTTCGTGCTGCTGTCACTTGGGCCTAGTGGGTAGCTTTTGGTCTTCATGTGTAATGGCGAAGGTATGATTGACATGCAGCCAGGGGTCGGGTTAGGGATTAGTTTCGCGGAGGTTATTAGATGATGTCACAGTACTCCACTTGCTCCCGCCTGTTTTATATTCTCATTTGTAGTCGCCAGCACCTGAAATGCTGAAATGGCGAAGCACAGCGGGCCGTCGATTTTACCGTTTGAAATCCCATCGTCGTCATTCATCCATTCGCAACACCAAGGGTCACCATCACCACACCAGACGTCTCGCCACCAGCAGCAGCAGCCGTTAGCACCTCAGCAGCACCAGACTTCGCGTCGCGATGCAACCAAGAAGAAATCCCCAATGCCAATTAATACTGAGCTCGACAGAGCAAACTCCGTCGGACCTGTCAAAACTGGACACGTGGCGTCGCCAAATGCTTACCACGAGACAGCTCCCGTCCCACGCTCGGGAGTCCCGCGGTCCGTGACGTGGCACACGCAGCAGAATCAGCTTGGAGACGTCAGCAGGCCACGGTCAGCGAACCCTAACTCGTTAGTGGGACCCGCGGCACAGCCGAAGCACATACCGCTGTCTAGAACCGACCCGTGCGAAGAGATTAAGTATGAGGAGCTTATTCATGAGAAGAAGGTATTACTACGGGCGGAAAGCAAGGGTCGTGCGCCGGGGGTAAAGTCTTTCGCGAGTCACGGCAGGAGGGCGAATAGAGCATACGAAGACGAGCCTTCGTATGGCGGCTCCAAAGGGAATAGTTCGCCTAATGATGTCATCAGCCATAGTTTCCTTCCCTCGGAGAGTAGTCTATCCACCACCGACTCCCACGGGGGGTCCGGAGGTCCTTTCCCGGCGGACTTAGAGGTGGAAAATAGGCATTTAAGAGGTGTCGAGGAGAGTGAAACTGTGGGGTCGAGTGCGGTTAAGAGTCCTAGTGGAAGGAGACGGAGAACGCTGGTGAAGCAGGACGAAGATTCTAACGGAGGTTCCTTTAAGGAGGATAAAAAGGGCCGGACATGGCGCATGCCGAGCCTCCGGAGGCGGCACAGCACCAACGGGAGGGAAGACGGAGGTTCGGACGAGCCCGTGCCGGAGCCTCGGAAGGTGCAGGTTCCGTCAGGCTCGGATGCCGGGCCTGAGGTTGCGCCTCGGCGACCGTTCTATTCTGCGTCGTTCGGGTATGTGAGCGAGCGGAGGAGGAGCTTCGAAGGGGGGGAGAGTAGGGAGACGCACAGTAATACACACAGCAGCAGCAGCAGCAGCAGCTATGGCGGCAGCAGCGGCGGTGGAAGCAGGAAGAATCAGCCCTGCTCTGCTTCTCCTGATAGCGGCCTCCCTAGCAGCGGGAAATCCGCGCACAGGCCGAGCGTGTTCCGCCACGCGCGCCCGAAAACGCCCGAGAAGCCGCACTTCCCGGAGAGAAAGGCCATGTCGGAATCGTTCACGACGCCCGGCGGGTCCAGCCGCCAGGCGGACTTCTTTCCGCCGCCGTCGCGCGCGGCTGCTATCGCGGCGGAGAAGAAGCGGCAGGCGAAGGCGCGGGGGGAGGGGGGAATGGGGGGGATTAGGGGCGTGTTCAGCCGCAGCAGCAGCAGCGTCGTGTCTCGCAGCAGCAAGGACAGCAGCGGCAACAACAGCAGCAACAGCGGCAGCGGAGGGGTCAGTCATAGTGTTGGAAGCATGATGCGACGAAGTAGCAGCAGCCTGACCACGCGATACCGGAGCAGCGGCCACGGCAGTAGCAGCAGCAGCAGCTGCAATAGGAAGGGGGGGTATGAGCTGCCGGACGGCTCTCAAACCTATAACGAGGATGGCTCGTTTGACCACCGGGTAGACGGGGTAGACGGGGACTCTCCGCACGAGATCCTTCCCGTGCCGGCCCTGCCTCGGATCCGAACCAACGCCGCCTCGCCGAAGCGGGCGCTCAGCCGCAGGCTCGGTCTGTCGCTGAAGCTCCCCCATGGGCGGAACGGGGCGAGCGGGGAGGGGGAACGCGGGGGAGATGGGGAAGGAGGGGGGGAGGGGGAGGGCGGCGGAGTGTGGGAGAGGACAGAGCTCGCGCGGATGTATGGGAAGGGGGAAATAACGGAGCGGATGGCGCAGAGACTCAAGGGCCGCGGGGGATCGCTAAAGGGGTGTCTGTTTCCCCCGCTGTCCCCCACGATGGCGGACGCGTTACACGGCGACGATATGGTCGAGCCCGCCGACCGCCTGCAGAGCCTGCAGCGGCGGCGGGACGAGCGGAAGGCTCTGAGGAGCGCGGGAGGGGAAGGGGGGGGCGGGCGGAAGGGCGAGAGGGAGGTTGACAGGGACGGGGACAAAGGGCGGGCGGAAGGCGGGAGAGAAGGCGAGGGGAGAGCGGGTAGAGAGGAGGAGCGAGGGCGGCAGCGAGGGAGTGATTGGAGTGGGGAGTCGATGGCGTTAAGTGACGCGTCAACAACTCCAGATGATGCGGTGCAGAGCGGTGGAGAAGCGCGGACGGTGATCCAGGCGATTCTCGAGAAGCGCAGGCAGATCAAGGAACAGAGGCAGGCGGGGGGGCGGGGGGAAGGGGCACGGGGGGAAGGGGCGCGGGGGGAAGGGGCGCGGGGGGAAGGGGCGCGGGGGGAAGGGTTACTGAGGAGGGGGGGTGCTGAGGAGGAGGGGTATGAGGCGGCAGATGCAGAGACGGCTGTCAGGGCGGCAAGCCAGGTAGGGACAGTGGCAATTCGGGGTGCAGGAGACAGTAGGGAGAGTGGTGAGATGGGTGGTGGCAGTGAGGGGAGTATGGAGGAGCAGGGTAGGAGGGCATGCACTGGCGGCTCTGATGCCACTGCCGCTACGCCCATGGGCGCCACAGGAAGTGACACTGACGAGGGGGGAGAGGCGACGGAGGAGGAGGAGAAGGAGGATGGGGAGAAGGAGCGGGAAGCGGAGGGGGAGGAGGAGGAGGAGGAGGAGGAGGGGGGGTGGGAGAGCCCCGGGCCGATAGCGCGGTCGAACACGTGCGACGGGCGGATAGGGGGCAGCCGGGACGAGGACCAGTGGCTGCGAGTCCGAGAGGCTGCTGCTGCTGCCGCTGCCGCCAGGCGAATGGGTGGGCGAGACTATGGTAGAACCGGGGGAGCTGCAGCAGGAGGGGAGAGAGGGGAGAGAGGGGAGAGAGGGGAGAGAGGGGATAGACTAGGAGGGATGCGAGTGGAGGGTAGTGGCACCCCGCCTCGAGCCCCACTACCCGCGTCAAAGGTACTGGGAAGCATTCCCCCCAGAAGCCATGTGCGGTCGGCTAGTCATGGAGCTGACAGCGCTGCCTTGGCCCTCTTCGCCTCTGCTGGCAGTGGCAGCCCTGCTGCTGCTGCTGGCGGCCGTTGTAGTGGCGCCGGTGGTGCTGGTGGTGCTGGGGGTGCGCCTGGTAGTGGTTCGCATGGCTCCCCTGTGGGCCTTTCGGGCTCCCCTTCCTCCCACCACCACCTCTCCCACCACCACCCCCACTCCCGCCTGCAGCACCTACACCAATCCCCCTCCACCCTCTCCCCCCAGCACCCCCACTCCCTCCCCCACCCCTCCTCCTCCTCCTCCTCCCCCGCCTCCTCCGCCCCCTTCCGCCCGTCCCTTCCCAAGAACTTCCCCCAGGTGCCCCCGCGCCCGCCCAGCCGCGCGCAGGAGGAGGGGGGGGGGCGCAGGAGGCGGGGGTTCGGGTCGTTCGGGTCGTCTGTAGCAGAGTCTGACTCCAGCGGCAGTGACTTCCACGTCAGCCCTGTGCGCGGGGCTGCTAGCACTGCCGCTGGTGCTGGTGCTGAGGCTGCAGGAGGGGCAGCAGCACCTGCTGCTGCTGCTGCTGGGAGTGGCGGCAGCAGAGGCCAGGGAGGGATCTCCCAGCCGCTGCGGCGGGACCTCTCCCGCGCGTCCTCAGCCTCCCCTGTCAGCCGAGCAGCCTTAGAAGCCCTTGGGGTGACATCAGGGGGGGGAGCGGGAGCGGGGGGATCAGGCATTGACAGCCCCCTTGTGCGGAAGAAAAGGGATCAGCAGCAGCAGAAGCAGCAGAGGCGGCGGCGGTCCTTCAGTAGCAATCCGGATCCGGGCCAAGAGGGCGCAGTGGAGGAGGAGGGAGCAGCTGGTGCGGATTCCAGTGGGGGGAATCCCGAGTCTAGGGATCCATGGGCGTGCATGGGTGAGTGGGAGGGGAGGGTGGAGTTAGAGGAGGCCGAGAGGAGCGGAGGGGCGGGGACGTGGAGGGAGGACGAGGAGGAGGAGGAAAAGCATCTGACGATAGTCCAGCGAGCGCGCTCCCCTGCCCCACTGCGCGTGCATCTCTCCTCGGGTCTCGACTCCCCAGCGGCGTACAGCCCCTCGCTGCCACGCGCGTCGTCGTCCTCCCCACTGCAGTCCCCCCTGGTGCGGTCGCCCTCGTGCGGGGTGCAGTATGACCACCAGCCTGTGATCCCGCTGCTGCTGCCCGCCAGGCTGAGGTCGCCCATGCGCAGAAGCAAGCAGGCACAGGGGCAGAGGGACGGGCAGAGCCACGCGCAGGGGCAGGGGGAGGGGCGTGTGAGGCCTGTTTCTGCAGGAGTTAAGAGGGTGGGGGAGAGGTGTGAGGGGGAGGAGGAGGAGAGAGGGCGAGAGGAGGCGAGGGAGGTGGAGATGGGCGGAGGGCGGGTGAGGAGAGCGCGAGAGATTAGGAAGAGTAGCAGTTTGGGACGATGGAGGGAGGAGAGAGAAGAGAGAGGGGAGATGGGGGAGAGAGAGGAGAGGGAGGAGAGGGAGAAGAGGGGGGAGAGGGGGGAGCGGGACAGGGATCAGGGCAGAGGGTTGAATAGAGGAGAAGCAGAGTCAAGAGGTCAGCTTCGAGGGTCGTTTGATTTCCAGGTGGCGCCACTGGGTGCGGAACGGTTGGAAGGGGTGAGAGATGGCCAAGGGCCTAGGGCAGGTTCAGGGGGGGAGGAGATGAGGGGGGAGGAAGTCGAAGAGGGGAGGAGAGAGGGCAGGGGGGCTGAAAGCGGCCCTCCTGGCAGCATTCGGAGCATGATGGGCTCTGTGGCTCGGACATCCAGTGCGCCTGCTGACTCTCTTGCTGTGCTGCCACCGCCCGCTCTATCTAGACGGCAACACGGGGCGGATCCCAGCTTTGAAATCATGCTAAGGGGACGTGAGAGCGCAGGGGCAGAGGAGGAGGAGGAGGAGGAGGAGGAGGAGGAGGGGGAGGGGGAGGGGGAAGAGGTGGAGAGGGGGGAGACTGGGCGAGAGAGAAGAGGGGGAGGCACGGAGGGGCGAGGTTTGAGAGAAGGGGAGGACTGGAAGACTGGTTCGGGCAAGGGTTTTGGTTTGGGTAAAAGAGGCCTGGGGCTGGGAGGCGGCGGAGAGCTGTCGTTTTCGCGCATTCCCATTGGCCGGTTGAATCTGAGTGATATAGACGAAGACATGGCGTCTGCTTTAGGTGGGGAGGGGGAAGGAGAGGAGGAGAGGGACGAGGGGAGAAGAGAGGTGAGAGGAGAAGGTGCAGCAGGAGAGGCGGGAGCAAGGGGAGCAGCAGAGACAGCAGCAGCAGCAGCAGCAGCAGCAGCAGCAGCAGCAGCACCAACGTCAGCAATCCGGCCAAGTCTCAGGATCCTTCTGGGAGACCTCTCCTCCCCCCGTTGTTACTCACCCTCGCAACCCTCTGCACCGCACTCCACCCTCGACATTCCCAATGGCCCCTGCCCCTACCGGGAGTTCGGACCTATCGCTCAGGCTCGGTGCCGAGCCGAGGAGGCTCGGATGCACTGGTCTCTACTTTTCTCCCAGTATATGGATGTTTTGATGTGTAGGCTGTCAGGAGAAGGGGGGGAGGGAGAGGAGGTGGAGAGGGAGAGTGTGGCTGGAGGAGGGAGGGGGCGAGAGGAGGAGGAGGAGGAGGAGGAGGTGGTGGAGGAGGAGGTGGTGGAGGAGGAGGGGTGGGGGGCAGCTGAGGGGCCGACTGGAAGTGAGGGAGGAGGAGGAGTGGGGAGGAGGAAGAAAGGTGGAGTAGGGTCGAGCCTGAGGCGCCCTGCTACAGTGGGAGCGGGTGCTTGGGACATAGATGCTGGTAGGCTGTCAACCCCATCAGCAGCAGCGGACCGGCAGGGAGTAGGGGTGGGGGGAGCAGGAGTGGGGGGAATGAGGGGAGGGTCAGGGACAGGAGGAGGGGGAGGGGTAGGCGGGGCAGCAGCACCAGGAACGGTCCATTCCTGGATGAGGGGTCGGTCCGGGAGGCTCGGCCGAGCCTGGTCCTCTGCTTCGGCGTCCCACCGCGAGTTTGAGTGGATCTGCCGCAAGTTCCAGGCAACTTCCGAAACTTCAGACCACCTGCCCGCGTTCCACACTGACGAAGTTTTCACGGCTGCCCTGGCCGTGTGGCTCAAGTTCTGGGACCAATGGGGCGACGGCCGGCCGTCCTGGGCAGCCGAAAACGACGAGCTCTCGCCAGAAGGAGAGGAAGGAGCGGAGGGGGGAGGGGCCGGTGGGGTGGGTGGGGGGCTAGAGGCGGGGGGGGAGGGGAGAGGCAGAGCGGCGGGAGCAGGAGCAGGAGCAGGAGCAGGAGCAGGAGCGGGAACAGGGGAGGGTGGGGTGGCGTGGAGGGGGAATGGGCAGGCGGACGTGTGGCAGAGAAGTGATAGCGGCAACAGCAGGTGCAGCGGCAGCTCCCTCCTCGCCTCTCCCTGTGGCTGGGGGCCGGATTTCACAGCTGCTGCTGCTCTGGTGGCGGGCATTCAGGAGGAGGGGGACGGGGAGGGTGTGGAGGGGAGCGGAGGAGCAGGGGGAGGGGAGTTGTTCGTGGGAGGCGCAGCAGTGTTGCGAGGAGAAGTGATTGGCTCACCAGCAGCAGCAGCATCGCCAGGGCAGCACAGGGGGTCAAGGCTGGCACCAGGCGGGCAGTGGCACAGCATTACAACGGCTGCTGTAGATGCTGCTGCTGCTCTTGCAGAGGAGGGGGAGTCGGGAGAGGGAGGAGAGAGATGGGAGGGAGGAGGGAGGGGGGAGAGGGGTGAGGCCGGGGGATTGAGGTCCTCCGGGCGGGTCGCTGTAGAACGATCCTCGTCTGTAGGTAAGGCTCGTAGCAGTCCTCTTGAGAGGGAGGAGAGAGCGCTGTGTGGTAGGCTTGAGAGGGAAGAGAGGGTGCTAGCGGCTTCAGGAGCAGAGCGGCCGTATACCAGCGAGCAATCTCAGCCGTCGGTTGCTGAGAGGCAGCAGCATCAAGCGCACAGAGCTCACCGTCCGTACACAGCCCATGTACCCTCGGGCCTGGGCCGTGGGGCAAGCCAATCCGCGTCTACCAACTCCCCAGCAGCAGCAGCAGCAGCAGCAGCAGCAGCAGCAGCAGCAGCAGCAGCAGCAGCAGCAGCATCAGGAGGGTCGCATCCTGACCTCATCTCCCCGCCAACCCTAATCACCACGCCACGCCAGCACCGCTGGCGGCCCCCTCCTGAATTCGACGACGCCGCGGAAAGGGGGAGGCCAGGCGCAGAGGCAGCAGGAGGGGCGGGGAAGGCGGGGAAGGGTGCGAGCAGCAGCAGCAGTTCGCGGAGGCGAGGGGGAGGAGGGGGGGCAGGAGGAGGAGGCACGGAGGTGTCGATAATGTCTCGGCTGGTGAAGGACGCTCTAGCTGGGGAGGACCGGTTCCTGTCCGCCCGGTGCCACCATGACGACATTCTGCTCTTCGTGGGCGTGGCTGCGGCGATCAGCGCGTGGCGCCCCGCCACGGCTGCTGTGATCCTCCTGAGAGTGCTGGACAGGATCGCCTTCTTTGAGCACCTGCAGGAGAAGGGAGGCATGGCCACGCCTGAGAGGGGAGGCATGGCCACGCCGGCCAGAGGAGGGGGGTCTACGCCCACGGGCAACCGCACTCCCACCCATGGTGCAGCAGCAGGGGGAGGAGGATGGGGAGGAGGAGGTGGAGGAGGAGGAGGGGGAGGGGGTTTGGGCGTGTTCAGCTCGACACCTATCAACAGCACCCCTTCCTCCCCGACCTATGGGATGCGTCCCTGGACCACCCCTATTCATGCATCAGACACTACCAGCATTAGTATCAGCATCAGCAGTAGTAGCCACCTGCCCCCAGGTGCAGCCTCCCCCCGGTCCACCTCCCCCCGGCCTGTCTCTCTCCTTCTGGGCGGCAAGCGGGCGGGGACGAATCTGCCTGCGTGCCGCTCGTTTGTCGTCTCTTGCCTGCTGGCTATTCTGTCCTCTTGCGAGGACCGGGCGGCGACAGCCATGGCTGCCACGACGCCAGCGGTGCAGCGGCTGCTGATGTGGCAGGAGACGACTGGGTCTGACGGGGAGGGGGGGGGGGACGGGGAAGAGGGAGAAGTGCTTGAGGTGGTGTTGGAGGAAGGGGACGATGGTAAAGCCACTAAGACCACCACCACCACCACCACCGGTACCATGCACAGCAGCAGGAAGCAGCACGCGAAGAAGCGAAGGGGCCGGCTGCCAAGCTTCTCTGCCCCATCCCCTTCCGTGGCCGGCCCGTCCTTCCGCAAGGGGTGGTCCCCCATGACCCTCGCGTCCCTCGCCGAGGTCGCCCTAGCCGAGGGCCTCGCCGCCGCCAAGCACTCGAGCCTGCAGGAGCGGTGCGAGGAGCAGGATCGGCTGTACCTGCAGCTGAGCCTCGGGCCGGGCCTACTAGCGATGACGCTCTCTGCTGCCATGCGTGACCTCCCCCATTTACACCCGGATGACACCATGGCTGTTGCCACTGCGGTGGAGGACATGGGGGTAGATGAGGCGGCTTTTCACGCGGGGCTGCGGGCCGTTGCGAGTGGGCGGCTGGGCGCGTCAGGGCTGGACCGGGTGATCAAGATGGTGTTTGTGGGCAGAGGGGTGCAGTCCGTTTCAATGCGGTTTGCGAAGCTCGCTGCTGCGGTGAAATCTGTGCGGTTCTTGGATGGCGGGAGTGGGGTGGCGGGTGCGCCGCCCGGGGGGGCTGCGGGAGCGGGAATGCTGGGACTGGGCGGCAGTGCGGGCGGCAGTGTGGGTGGTGGGAGCACAGTGGGTACGTCAGAAAGAGCAGCGACTTCTGGGGGAAGAATTGGAGGTTCTTCTGCTGCTGCTAAGGGCCCTGGTGCTGCTGGTACTGCGGTTGGTAGCGGTGCTGCTAGTAAGGGTGGTGGAGGGGGGGCGTTGGGAGGGGTACTGTCTTTATTCGGGTCTCAGTCGCAAAAACCCCGCCCCAGCACTAGCTATGTCAGCACAGGCGCTTCTAGCTTCAACGGCGGCGCTGCCGGCAGCCTCGGCGGCTACCGAACCTCCAGCCATGGCAGCGGCGCTGCTGCCGTACCTCAGGCCAGCCCTAGGACCCCGCGTGCCACTTCCAGTATGGTGTCCAGCCCTAGAAGCATCGCCAGCAATCACCCCCACCACCACTACACCCACAACCAGCACCACCACCAACAGCAGCAGCAGCAGCAGCAGCAGCAGCAGCAGCAGCAGCAGCAGCAGCAGCAGCAGCAGCAGGGCAGCCCCAAGTCGGCTTCTTCCCACAGTCCTACACCCTCTGCCCCCATCTCCGCTGTCCTTAGCAGCAGCACCCCCAAGTGGGCGTCCGCTGCTCTTGCTGCCGCCTCTGCCTGGGGCTCTGCCATTCAGAGCCGGGTCGCAGCAGACGGGGAGAAAGGGGCGGATGCTAGATCTGACACTAGGAGCGTTGCAGGAAGCTGCAGGGAAGGTGCTGGTGCGGATGGTGGGAATCCTGCTGTGATTGGTGCTGCTGGTGGTAACGCGGGGGGTAGTGGGAGCAAGCGGTGGGACTTTTTCATGGGCAGTATCACGGGCAGCAGGGGTGGTGCTGGGGGGGTGGAGGACGACGTTTTGTCCCAGGAAGGGGGGCTCGGTCCGGGCAGTGAAATTTCGGCTGGTAGCACTGGTGCCCGTAGCGCTTATGCTGGTGTTGCTGCTGGTGCTTGTGGTGCTGCTTCTAGTGGTGGTGGTTTTGCTGGTGCTCTTGCTGCGGCGCTGGTCAGTACTGCTAGTGTCTACAGCGGTGGTGGCGGCGGCGGCGGTGGTGGTGGGGGTACTGGTGGTGGGTGGGGCGGCGGCAGCAACTGGGGCGGCGGCAGCAACTGGGGCGGCGGGAGCAACTGGGGTGGCGGGAGCAACTGGGGTGGCGGGACGAATGGCGCGCTGACACCTGGCAACGGGGGGAGCACCCCGCGCGCGCTGACCCCTCGATCGTCCTCCCAGCAGAGCTCGTATGTGTCGGAGTTTGTGGACGCCATGTTGCGGAGCGAGGAGATGCGAAAGCAGCACCCGTGGGCGTATGAGGTGCTGCTCAACTTCCTCAGGATCAACAGCAGGGGAGCGCCCATGGAGGAGAGGGAGCTGGACCTGTGTGCCCGGGTGAGTAGTTTCTTTCGTCTCCTTCAGAGTGCCAGAGATCTCAAAGCAGCTGTAAGAAACTGCATTTTAGCTTTTCCTTCGTACATTCCCTTCCGCATTCCCATCGCTTTACTCCCCTCCTCCTTCGCTGCAGGTGGTGCTCAACAAGTGGCTTGGCGAGGGGTCCGAGGCTGACCGCGAGGCTCGGGCCGTGGCTCGGGTGGAGAGGATGGGGGATCCAGGGTCGGAGGTGGGGTGGCCCATGTGGCTGCGGATCGGGCGCCTGGTGGAGCGGGAGCTGGCGCACATGAGCCAGCTCTTGGAGGCCATGCACGCATTATCCATCTGGCTTACTTACGACGTGAGTTCTTCTGCACCTGATGTGTGGCTAAGCATCGGGCGGCTGATGGAAAAGGGAGTTGGCGCGCATGGCGCAACTCTTGGAGGCCATGCACGCATTGTCAATCTGGCTTACTTATGACGTGAGTACTGAAGCCAAGCGCAGCTCATGGAGCCCATGCACGCCCTGTCGATATGGCTCATCTATGATGTGAGTTAAAAGATGCCTCATGAAAGGACGTCTTGTTGGGTGGCCCATGTTGCTAAGGATCGGGCGGCTGGTGGAGCGGGAGCTACCTCGCATGCTTAGCATCCGACTCATAATCCCACCTCGCATCCTTTCCTCCCTCTATCCACCTCCTCGTCAGAAAATGGAGGAGGACGGCACGTGCACAGAAGCCATATCAGGGGAAGTCTTGGACTGGGGCATGCAGGGGCTGCTGCACGTGCTGCCAGAGGGGTCGGGCGCACAGACTCTGCTGGACCTGCTGGACCCGGAGGATGACGACTGGGTGGACCTGTCCCTCTCGGTGGTTTCTCGGATCGCTGCCTGCCCCAGTGTCGTTTGGCCGGTGAAGGGGGGGTCCGCGCTCTTTGTTGCCAAGCTCCTCACGCTGGTTGAAGACTGTAAGTGCCCCTCTCTCGCATGACTTACTGGGCTCTGCTTGGCTTGCTTGACCCCTCTTGTGCACTGAAAGTTTGCTTCTCCTGCTATGCCAACCCTCGTTGCGTTGCGACCCCCCCCAAGTGCCTCGATGACACAGGACCGGCAGAGAAGGGTGGTGCAGGAGAGTTGGCTCAAATGGCGAATGGCGAAGTGGTGAGGAGGGTATTCCCTTTCCCTCGTTCTCTGCGCCTCCCTTCTAATCCCACCACGCACGGAGACGCGCGACCAGCAGAGCAGCGCAGAGCAGTGAGCACTCAGCATTCCCTCCCCTCCCCTTCCCCCCCACTCCCTTTTCCCCTTGAGAACACCAGGCGCAGAGATGACGCGCGACCAGCAGAGCCGGGCGGTGCAGGTGGCGGTGCAGCTGTGGGGGTGGGCAATGCCCAAGCGCGAGCAGCTGCTGGACCAGTGCGAGGTGAGGGGCAAGGGGAAGGGGGGGAGGGCGGGGTGGGGGGGGGTGGAGTTGTGAGGGGTAAGAGGTGGGGAAGGTGTGTACAAGTACAAGCATGGGGGTGCAGCTGTGGGGGTGGGCCATGCCCAAGCGCGAGCAGCTGCTGGACCAGTGCGAGGTGAGACGAGGGGGGGAGGGGGAAGAGGGGGGGGTAGAGCAGGATGGGGGGGTTTAGGGGTGTTCCGAGGAGTGTCTCGGCATTGCAGTGCAACTGTGGGGGTGGGCCATGCCCAAGCGCGAGCAGCTGCTGGACCAGTGCGAGGTGAGTGGAGTCGGGTAGGGTGAGAGACAGGGGGGGATAAGAAACAGCTGTTCTTCTTGGCAGCTCTAGGCAGTGCGGCTGTGGGGTGGGTGGGGCCATGCCCAAGCGCGAGCAGCTGCTGGTTGACCAGTGCGAGGTGAGAGGCAAGGGGGGAAGGGGTGGGTTATGGGGGGAGAAGGGAGAACTTTTGCGTCTTTGGCCAACAGTTGAGACAGGGGGGGAGAATTGGGGTGTGGGACAAGTGAGGGAATGAAGGGAGGAGGGAGGGAGTTGCTGTGGAATTTTTTTTTATCTGTCCATCCAATATTCCCCCCATCCTTCCAACCCCCCCGCCCCCACACGCCCACCCCCTCCGCCCCTCTCGCTCCTTCCCCCTTGCGCTCCTCCCTGCCATTCCAGACTGAGGAGGTGATGGAGGTTCTCGACGGCTGTGGGCTCCAAGTGACTCGCAAGACGTCCATCCGAAACTCCCATCATTCCAACCCCCCCATCCACCCACCCACACCCCCGCCCTTCCCTTTCCCCGTTGCGCTCCTCCCTGCCTTGCCAGACGGAGGAAGAGGTGACGGAGGTTCTCGACCGCTGTGGACTCGTGAGATCTCCATCCAAAAACTCCCATCATTCTACCCCCCCCTGATCCACCTGCCCCGCCGCCCTTCCCTTCCCCCTTGCTCTACTCCCTGCCATTCCAGACTGAGGAGGAGGTGATGGAGGTTCTCGACCGCTCAGCAGCTGCCACGTGGCGCTCTGTGGCTCTGGGAGGTGAGATCTTAGTCGCCAGTGCCTCGTCTGCTTGGGTTTGGGGTGAGCTGATGCCCATGCCCATGCCCATGCCCATGCCCATGCCCATGCCCATGCCCATGCCCATGCCCATGCCCAGGAGCATGCCCATCCTTCTGCTTCTGCTGTTGAAAGTAGGCGTGCCTTTCCCATCGTTCTCTCTGGTTCTGGGTTGCCTGCTATAGGACACCCTCAATCCCACACATGTCAATTCCTGTCCCTCACCTAATTCACAAACCCCCCCACCCTCTCCACCCCATATTGTCCCCTCCCCTCCCCCTCCCCTCCCCCTCTCCCCTAGCAGCCATGGCTGCCGTGCTGGGTTGACCTTTTTCGGCTGCCCTTTCCCTAGCCCTGCCAAACCAGGAGGGCTCTAACTTGTAAATTGTAACGCTGGCATGGCATGCCCTCTACTCTGCTCTTGCTCTTCTGGTTGGAGGGCCCTGCTTCACCGCATGCATGTCCTCCACGGGCTTGTAGTACCGCATGCTCTTCTGCCCTTCGTTTACTGCATGCCCTCTGATCTGGACGACCCTTCATAGCAGTAACAGCTCCTCCCCTCCACAGTTAGCGCTGCGAGGAGAGGAGACTCTAGGAAATCCCAGCCCAGCATGGCACGGCAAGAGCTACTAGTCCCTGTGCCCGTGTGACATGGGCTGTGTGTGCACTGTAATTATTTTCCACCTGTATCTAACCCCTAAGTAATCGGTAGGACTGTAGAGGTGCAAGCTGCCAGCCTGCATGAGTAATGCGCATGCCCCAGTGCTGTACTGTTAGCCACTATGAGATTGACCATGCTCGGGTTGGTTTGGCTGATTTGTCCCTTGTGCTTCCTTGGCGGACTTGTCATCAACACAAATTATTAGACTTAATGAAGTTATGGTTTGTGCTCATCAACGTATTTTATGGGTCGTATTTACAATAGCCAACCCTTAGTCAATATTCAGCGATGGATTTCTATAAACGTCTTCCAGGTATATTAAAGCTCACATCCTTTGTTGTTGTCCACAGAAGCATTTGTCCGCGATGTTTTCTGCGCGTACAGCATAACAGAAATTGAAGAAGTGAATAATGTTAGAGAGAGGGTACACACAGATATACCTAAGTATTGTACCCTCTAAGAGGCTACCCTATACAGTCTATACAAACATGACAAATACACATGTTTGACACACCCCCTAGACTGCATAGGGGAATGTCCTAAACAAGCAGCTCAGGGCGGCACTACTAGTCCAACCTCTGAGACAAGGGTCTGAGAGACCAGTCAGAAGGAGTACAGACAAGGCAAGAACAAGAGCAGGGCGGCACTACTAGTCCAGCCACTGGGAGAGGACACAAGTCCAGTCTGAGTATACATATAAAGGACAGTACAAAGTCAAGGTCCTAGCAAGTGAGAGGCTACAGGAACTAGACCAAGCTGTACACAGTGCCGCTGATGATCTTTAGGCGCAAGCGCCTTCGTAAAGATATCAGCCGTGTTGGCACCTGAGGCCAAGTGTACTACGCGAGTCTGACGTCGCTGCTGTAGCTCACGCAGGAGGAAGTACCGCAGCTGAATGTGCTTCGCTCTGCCCTCGAGTCGAGGCTCCTGACACAGGAGGATCATGGCCCTGTTGTCAGCGAACAGGACCGGGGCAGAGCTAGGCCGCTCACCTAAGTCAGTGAGCAAGAAGGTCAGCCAGCGGAGCTCCTGTGCCGCCATGGCACCAGCGTAGATCTCAGCCTCACAGCTGGACTGCGCCACAGACGAGGAGCGAGTAGCTCTCCACGAGACGGCACCTGAGCCAAGGCTGAAGCAGTAGCCCTGGGTAGACCTGAGTGTCTCAGCGTCGTCTGCCCACGAAGCGTCTGTGTGTCCAGTAAGGACCACTGGCCTGCGTCCTCCTAGCACTAACCCCATGCCCGATGTACTAGCAAGATAACGCAGAACCCTCTTAGCGGCAGACCAGTGCTGCGGTCGGTGTCTGCCTGTGGCCACAAAACGAGCCAGGATGCTGAGAGGGTATGCGAGATCTGGGCGAGTGCAAGTCATCAGGTACATGAGGCAACCCACCAGCTCTGCGTAGGGGCCGCTGGGCTCTACCAACTCCTCAGACACTGATGTGGAGAGCCTGTGGTCTACAGGCAGAGGGGTGGGCTGTGCAGAGGAGAACTGAAGGCTGAACCTCTGAAGGACCTGGCGCACCAAGTGTGACTGAGTCAGGGTGATGGTGTGCGCAGCTCTGTCCCTGGAGATCTGCAAGCCAAGGTAACGGCGCAGTTCTCCAAGGTCAGTGCAGGTGTGTCTCTTCAGCAGCTCTGCCTTCACGGAGGCCAGTGCGTCCCTGTCTGCTGTGGCAAAGACCGGGTCGTCGACGTAAAGAAGGATGTAGAACGGGGTCTGGCCAGTACGAACGAAGAGGGAAGGGTCTGCGGAAGACGGAAAGAACTGCAGGTCAGCAAGCGTAGCACGGAGAGTGTCGTGCCACTCACGGGGAGCCTGGCGCAGGCCGTAGACGGGGCGCCGCAGGAGCCACTGGGTCCCAGGAGGGAAGGTGCCAGTAAAGCCCGGAGGGCGACGTAGGTAGACCTGGTCGTGTAGGCTGCCCTGAAGGAAGGCAGTGGAGAAGTCGAGGGAGTGAAGCTCGTAGTCACGCTGAGCAGCTAGGTGTAACAGAACCCGAAGAGTAGTCATCTTCGGGGTCGGAGCGAAGGTCTGGAAGAAGTCCACCCCCTCGCGCTGACTGAAGCCTCTAGCCACGTAGCGCGCCTTGAACACAGGCGGCTCTCCAGGAGGGCGCTTCACCTTGAAGAGCCAGCGGCCATCGACTACGTTCACCCCAGGCGGGGGAACTGCGTCGACGAAGGTGCCGGTGGATCTCCAAGATGCCATCTCCTGCTCCATGACAGCTATCCACTGTGAGGCCCAGGGTCCCGAGGTCGCCTCAGCGTAAGTGCGAGGGGTCGGGATGTCAAAAGCGTCTGGGTCACCCTCAGGGACTAGCAGCATGGAACAGAGATGGGGAGCAGCCTCGGAGAGGAAGGCAAGCTCGAACTGGCGGTCCTCCAGGACGTCACTGCCAAGGGCAGGAGCACCCCCGACAGACGGAGGACAGGCAGGGTCAGAGACCAGAGCGGAGGCGTAGTCAAGGCGGCGGGAAGAGGCGAAGTCAGCGACAGCAGCGACAAGGGCGTCAAGGCACGAGGCCGGAACAGACGGGTCGGTAACGAGAGAGGCAAGGACGCGAGGAACAAGAGGACGAGCGGCACGAAGGTAGTCAGACAGCGTGGGGGGTGCAACAACAAGGGAGGAAGGAGGAGGCGACGGCAGAAGGGGAGGACGAGACGCGTGGGAACGAAGCAACATAGGGTGGGAGCACAGGACAGGCGAGGCAGGACGAGCACGGGAGGGACGGTGAGACCAGACGTGCGACGGAGGAGTCGGGTCAGGAGACAGTGGAGGGGACACAGGAGGGGAACGAGGGGGGAGACGAGCCGGGGACGAGTCCGGCGGAGGGAAAACAGGGCCGTAGACAGGAAGAGGAGGAGACGGTCGGGGAGGAACCGACGCAGGGTCCGGGAAGGCAGGCCGAGCAGGCGAAGGGCTGACACCGGCGGGGACTGCTGCTGCGGCGACACAACGGCGACACCAGGACCGCTAGCTGCTCCTCGGCAACCCCCGACACTCTCCACACCAGCACCCCCAGAGGGACCACCCCCAGGGCTACCGGGACGAGCACCCCCAGAGGCAGCGAACGGGTGCTGCGACGGCAGCGGCGGCGGCGGCAACGACGGCTGCAGTGGCGGCAGAAGCGGTGGAGGAGGGGACTGGGGAGGGGACGCCAGGGGAGGGGCGGCTGACGAGGACTGCACAGGAGGGCCACCAGAGTCAGAAGACTCCTCAACTGGGTCCACCGACGGAAGGGGGGTGACGTGGGACACACCAGAGGGGGCGGGACGGGGAGGAGGAGGAGGAGGGGCAGGGACTACCGGGGAAGGAGGGACCAGGAACAGGGGGGGAGTAACCGGGGGACCACGGTGGGGGAAGCGACGGTAGTAGGAGATGGACTCGTCAAAGGTGACGTCACGAGAGTGAAAGAAGCGGTGAGACGGCGGGTGGTAAAAGTGCCAGTCGGACGCGTCAAGGGGAAAACCGAGGAAGACGCAGGGAAGGGTGCGGGCAGTGAGCTTGTCCGTGCCGGAGGCACGGACGTGAGCAAGGCAGCCCCAGACGTGGAACGCAGACGCGTCACTAGGAGACCCAGTCCAAAGACGGGTCGGCGAAACCTGCGGCTGCTGAGGGTGCGGCCACAAGTTAAGCTGGTGAGAAGCGTAGCGCACAGCGAACGGCCACAGAAAATGGGGTGCACCGGCATGGATCATGGAGGTGCGAGCCACCTCCATGACCAAACCGATGCGTCGCTCAGCGACCCCATTCTGCTGTGGGGAGTCCGGTAGGGTGAACGTCTGGGTGATGCCCTCCGCACGACAAAAGCAACCAAGGACACCTGAGGCAAACTCGCCACCACGGTCTGAGTGAAGACGCAAGACAGGGAGACCGCGGTGGACACGCGCAGAGACAAGCCAGGGGATGAGAGCGCCAGGCATGTCGGCCTTGCGCTCCAGGGGAAAGACTGTGGTGTAGCGTGTGAAGTCGTCGACAAGCACAAGGAAGTAGCGCTCTCGACGCGGCCCAGGGACAGGAAGCGGCGTCAGGGTGGTGGAGTCGCGGAAGAAACACCGAGAAGCGCCAGAGTCCAAGGTGAAGGAAAGCGAAGCAGAGGCGTCTGGCGACGGAACGACGGCGAAAGCACCAAGACTACACAAAGCAGAGGATCCTATGCCTGACGCAGCAGGGGAGGGTACACTAGGCACACCTACACTAGGCAACAGTGAGGAATAAGCGGGAAGCACACTAGAGTCATTTGCATACATCACATGCAGAGCAGAAACAATGGCATCCATGTCCATATCAAAGATCTGAATCTGACGACTAAGTAAACTGTGCCAGTCCGGGAGGTCTGGCGACGGGCCGAAGCGCTGACGAAAGAGGTCGTCCAGGCGACGAAAACAGCGGGGAGTGGAGTGACCGATCTTACCGCAAACGAAGCCGCGGCGAGGACCGGTCTAGATCTGGTACTGACAGCGCCCGCCGCCAGAGCTACCACTCGACACACCACCACGCGCCCGGCCACCGCCAGCGCCGGGCCACCCGGGCGGGAGGACACTCGTCTGCCGCGTCTGCGACGGCTGCGGCGGCTGCTGCGACGGCTGCGACTGCGGCGACTGCTGCGGCTGCTGCAACTGCAGGGGCGGCGGCTCAGCTGGACTGGGCAGGGTCCCCTCGTCCGTTCCAGCACCAGACGACCCGACCCCACCACTACCCCCTCCCGCACCCCCGCCGCCGCCTCCGCCGCGCCCAACCTTGGGGCGGCGGCCCTTCCCCGAACGAAACAGCGCTGCAGCAGCAGTCTCAGCCACTGCGACAGAGCTGTCGGAGAAGTTACACTGGGCGGGGGCACAACCCAAGATAGGGATAGGCACGACACCGCTCGCCTGGGCGATGGAGCGGTGACGGGTCTCTATCACAGTCAGGGTGTCTACAAAGTCAGTGAGGGTGAGGTCGGCAGGGTGAAGGCTAAGGAAGCGGTCGCGGGCGACAGCAAGGCGGTCAGGGAGGCGGGTGGCAAGCAGGTAGAGGGTAGAGGTAATGGGCGGCTGGTGGGCTCTAAGCTGTGCGTCAGTGCAGGCAGCGCGCCAGGTCTCCTCTATCGAGCGCACGTGGGCAGGGTGGGGGGGAACCGTACCAGTGAGGAGGACGGGGCCGGGGCAGCGGGGCCGGGCAGGTGCGACCGGGCCGGGCGAGGACGACGGGGCCGGGCGGGCGCGAC